TCAGTTTATTCTAGTGGCTTGCCCTGTCGTTGTTAATGGGGCAGGATCTTGGACATTCTTTGATTGGGTTGTTTTACTGTCAGCTTGTTTGGCAGTTCCTTGATTAGGGTATTGTTTACTTCTTGATTGTTAGCCTGATGTTAATCTTGGAGTTAATCTATGCTCATCTGGGTGCTGATTGCTGATCGGGGTGGGTGGGGGTGTGTGCTTTGGTCTTTTTGTTCCCCTTTTGGCTCATTGATGATCTCTTTTGCATGGTATATAGATATTGTTTATGTCTATGGGTCTACTGATGGCTAATTTGTCAGAGTGCCAGGCTTCTAGAAATTCTCTAGTGATTTTGGATTTGGCTTAGTCTAGGATGGTCACAGTTTCCCAGTTGAAATTATGGTTAAGTCTGTCCATATGTTGTGAAATTACAGAGTGCTCATTATGTCTTTTGATAATATTCCAGATATATTTATAATTCCCCACTTATGCATATTGATATGCTTCCTTTTAAAAGGAAAGCTATGTACATTCCTGGTTGAAATTTATTTAACAACAATTTGTTGTTAGAGACATTACACTTTCAAATATACTGATACAGAATACTGTATATATGGTGATATATACTGCTCTATTACCAGAAAAGCCAATGGGTATGCACAATGTCCCAATCAACCTGTCCTAGAATGCATGCATGGAACAATAACACTGTCAAAACTCTGACTACGCAGACTAAGATTCCAAACACTTTGGAAAAAATATATTTACATATTTTTTGAAGAATACCACTGATGGAACATTGTATACACAAGAGAATGTTTACAGTTATGGCAGATGATTCAAATTATCCAAATTAAAAACATGTGCCTTTTTGATTCTGCAAATTCAATCATGAGTGCTTACAAAATGGCTGTCTATACCAATGTGGAACCTGAAAGTCCTCGAAAGAGATACAAAATTATTGTATCTTTTAACACATTTTTACTATGTTTTGGTAAATATTTGACCATAGGAAATCCAAATCTGTAGTGAAACTTTGCTTAGTTGCAAATGCAATTGTTCAGAATAAGCAAATCCATAGAACTCATTCAATCATTTCCAAATTATACTCCTAAAAATTATGCTGTGCTTTAAAAGAAATACACATCAACTTTAGTCTAAAAATACAACATAACTTTAATCTAAAAATACTCCCAAGACTCTTCAATATGCATCCATTGAGAAGGTTCATCTCTGAATCTTTGGTCTGATCTTGCCACATTCTGATCAATCTCTTTTTTTTTTCTTTATTTCTCATTTTATTTTTCATTCCTTCCTTGAGATTGAACATAGCTGGGTTGCTCAAGTACTCATAATGAATAGACACAACAGAATCATCCACCTTGGAATTATCTTAATTGTTAGAAAATCAGAATCCAAAATTATCAGCTCACACCATTGTTTTATATGTTACCACACTACATCGTTAGGAAAGATTGAGAATGCAGAGGAAATAGGCTATTGCCTATTAAACTTACAGATAGCCAAATCATTATTATTCTGCTACCTACAGTTTTAAAGGGAAGCTCCATATGAAACAATCTAATAAAAATTAATAAAAAGTTTGAGACTTTTGTATTTAAAAATGGTTTTCTATATATCTGAGAATATGCTTCACTAGGCAAGTATACATGAATTGCCTGAGGCATAGTCTTTATTTGAGTGTAAGTAAGGACACTGGTTTTGATTCTACTTAAGAGAATATTTTAACAACTGTAGACTGATTAATACCATTCACCATTGTTAAACAAAGTCACTTCTGTATATCTGCATATTCTAAAACTTTAAAGATTTACTGCTTTTCAAAATATTTAATTCTCATCTGTTTCCAGTGCTTCTGTGCTCCCTACCCTACCTATACTATCTCTGACTTTATCTGTATTTCTTCTCATTGGATAATTGTAAAAAAAAATTACTCTATTCCAGGAAAATATATACCATAAAATGTTTATTCTTCAAAAAATGCCATTTCTAATTTTGCATTAGGTTTGGCTTCTTTCCAAGCAGGAAGTCAGGATCTTAGGCTAAATAGCTTTGTCATGGACTACACGGGGTCCAGTGACTAATGGTTAACAGCCTCAGGGTCTCAAGTGGAAACTGGCATAAATTAAAATAAAATTAACTCCCAAGATGAATCCAGATGTTGTCAATATTTTCTTTTGTGACCTGCTTTTGGGGCTGGAAAAAGTCAACTATATCAAAGCCAAAGAGTTGGGCTAACTCAAATCCATGTACTGAAAGCATGTGAAAAAAACTGTTCCTGTATAATCATAACATGAAACTTGCATGCCAGAATAAAATAAGCCAAGCCTGGGATGTAAGCAAAAAATATTATTCTGTTATAATGGAAAAACAATGCCATTCCAATATTACCCTGTTGGGTTGTTGTTGTGTCTCTGCTTATGAGTTGGCTCTCTACCAATATAAGAGACTGCCAATATTATTACTTGTGCTCAGGGCTAAAATGTTTTAAAATGGTTTTCTATATATCTGAGAATATACAGTACTTCACTTGGCAAGTATAAGTGAATTGCCTGAGGCATAGTCTTATGTGGTTATCTGGATTGAGTTCAATTTTATGATGCCCAAAGAAGTGGACAAGGTCATCCAATCTGTTAGTTCATCCATCTATCTATTAGATCATGGTCCTTCTTGGATTATTAAGGAAGCCCAAGAGATGATCAAGAGATACTGTAGGTTCATGCATTGGTATTGTATTATCTTCTTTGAAAGAAGGGTTAGTCCTGCTGGCCTTGAAGAAAGTGGTGGTCAGCCTATTCAAAAGTGGTGACACCCATTCTCCTGGGATTCTGGAAAGCTCTTCAGATCTGGCTCTGGTCCCAAGCCTAACATGGGAAGTTTATGGTGCTATTATTTTTATATTATTATGGTTGGTTGTATAGTCACCCAAGTATTTTGATGAGATTTTTGGCATTTTTGTCCACGTACTGAGTCCTTTCAAGGTCTTGAAGTCAGTAGATGCTGCTCTTTGATAGCATTAAGGTATTGTCACTGGATGTGAGCTGTTCCAAATAAAACTTCCTTTTACAAATGACTGGTGGTGATTTTGTCAGTGCTGATGGTGTTCAAGTGATGATCCAGATGTTTCGGGATTGTAGCCAAGAAACCTATCACTAATGTACTGTTTCATTTTGCCAAAATCATTCTATTTGCAAGTCTTTGTATTTTGTTATGCTCCCCCATTTCTGTTCTGTTCTGCTGTCTCCAGAAACTACCACGTCCACTACCATGTTATTGTTGTTGTTGTTATTCACCTTGTTGTACACTTTTTTCTCCTTATTTTTTATATTAAAGCCAATATAAATTATTTTAAAAATCAGCTCTATAGATGGAGAGAGCAAGCAAACTGACTTTTGTTGAAAATAAGAAAAGTGAGATACAAGAAGGGGAAATAGAACTGCTTTTATTCATCTGCTATAAACAAAGAACATGCTATTATGAGTTTCCATAAAGAATTTATTAGTGTAATCATATATTCTATTTCTCTTTTTCCAAAATATTATATACTTAATAATGTTGTTTTTATAAGACTATTAAACAAAAGAATTCTCCTTATAAATAAGTCTAAATATATCTTCTTGAAAAAGATTGCTGTTCTGAAAAAGAATCTGGCATTCTGAATAAAATAAAGTCAAGACACAATCACAATATTGTTGGTATATATTTTTTATTAAAACGTTTAAACAAGAAGATAAAAACTAATACAAATGAATATAAAAGAAAAGAAAAAGACAGATATCAAAGAAAAGGTAAAAAAAAACCACAAAAACAGAAAAAAGTGGAATTTGTTAATTCCTGCACCGATAGTTAAATTAATTTATGTATTTATTCGATTTATATCCCACTTTGTATTCAAAAACTCAAAGTGGCACATACAGCATACCTTTCTGTTTTCTCCCATAATAACCTTGAAGGTAAATAAATTAGGTCAAGAAAGTGTCATTGGCCCAAAGTCACCCTGTTAGTTGTCATGGCTATAGCTGGACTTGAACCTAGATTTCCCTTTGCATAGTCCTATATCTAACCCCTACCTACCCAGAAGTTGACCAGTTCTGGAGAACCGGAAGCAGAAATTTTGAGTAGTTCGGAGAACCAGCAAATACCACCTCTGACAGGCCCCACCCCCATCTATTCTCTGCCTCCTGAGTCCCAGCTGATTGGCTGGGTCTTCTTTTGTTGCCCTGCACAAGAGAACGGAACTGGAAAGCAGGTTAGTGGGTTGGGGAGGGAATGGAGATTTTACAGTATCTTTCCCCTGCCACACCCACCAAGCCACGCCCACAGAACCTGTAGTAAAAGAATTTGAATCCCATCACTGAACCTACCCCATACAGAAATGTATGTAAGTACTGTTTACATCTGCCATGTACCTGCCACAGAAGCAAGCTTTACCCTCTCAGGGAAAAAAACTGTATTCTCCAGCAATTAGGGTTTTTTTTAAAAGACAGAAACACTTAAATTCAAATTTATCTTCCATTATGAAGAGGCCTTGAGTAATTCTCTAAAAAGAACTCCTTGATGATTTAATTTTGGTGAATTCTACAGCAAGCTGTTTTGATTTGCACCTCCCAAATCCATATGCAAATGAAAAGGGAATTATTCTCTTGAATTTTCACAGCTTTGAACATTTTGAAAGAACTCTCAAACATATCAAATATGCTTTTAAAATATACATTTTTAAAAATGTATTTAAAATTGTTATTTACATTTTAAAAAGTGTATTTAAAATTGTTATTTATATTTTAAAAAGTGTATAACATCCTGGGTTTATTTAGTTTTATATCCAAGCCTAATTAATTCACTAATTCTCTCTCTCTCTCTCTCTCTCTCCCCCCCCCCCCCTTTTCTCTGTCTCTTACCTATAGATACAAAATTCAGGAAACAAATATTTACCCCATATTCCATTTTTAAAAACACAATTAGATTATCATCAAGACATGCTCCCATCATACCTCATTAACTTGTTTTTTATCCAGGTGAAAAACTTGACCAGAACTTGTTGAAGCAATCTCTTCATAGACTTTGTAACCAATATGTGCTCTGTCATCACAGTCTCCAGTTAGAACAAATACAACCTGAATGGGTTTAAAGAAAAAAAAAGATTGTTATTTAAATAGTCTTCATATGAAAATCGATGAGAAAATCAGATCATCAGAAATCATTTGGCAGAATGTTATCCACTATAACCTTAAATACCTTAAATACCTTCAATTTCAAAACAATTAATCATACATTTCATAACAATGAAAAATGGCAGGCCACATTAATCCAAAATGTCAAATGTTAAATATTAATGTTAAATATTATGTAATTACACATTTTAATTAGATGTATTTATTTATTTATTAAACTTATATGCCACTTATACATAGACAAATTTTTTCTTTTATTTTACTAAGTTTAACTAAATAACTGTTAGGATTGACTGACTAAAGGTCTATTTGATAAAGAGGTCAAAAGTCACAGCTAGATTGTCTTGCTTTCTCGTGTTTTTTTCCTCTCTAGCTGCATGATCCAGGTTATGTTTTGCAATCTGAATTGCAGCTGGACTTCCAACTCTGACCAATAACACCAGGACAGCTCAAAAGATTTAGTTTTTTGGTTCATCATTCCAGAAAGTCCAAGAAATTACTGCACACACGCACATACACACAAACATGCATACAAAAATCACTTGCAAGAAAACAGTAGAATGTGGAATGTCCCAATCCACCCATGTCTTTCCCAAGGATATTCCATTAAACTCTGTGCCATACCAACTTTTACATCCTCTCCTACGCCCCATGGTTGAGCATGCTTAGTCTTCACTGGATTGTTTTGAAGTTGCCCCATCCAATGTTTATTTTAACTTCTTCCTGTCTTATGATTTTCCAAGCTGTGGCTACTTTCCCTCTTGGCACAGATAAGGTTATTTTCATTACATAAATTTGATAAATAAAGTAGAAGTAATAAATCAATCGCTTTACAGCGGGAAAGCAAATATTTTCCTTAATCTCATGAATGGAACCATAGAAAGATGTATCAGTTGTGGTAGAAAGTCATCGATTAATATTGTTTGAGCCTCATTATTATTCATTAGAATTAGCTATACCATTGATTTACCTCACAATTGAGGATAGATATATTAGACAGAAATCACCACTGAATGGATGGATGGATGGATGGATTTATGCCGCTTCAATCATTCTGCCTTTAAACAGTTTGCAATAAAGATATAATAGACAGACATAATATTCATACAATATTCATGCAAGTTAAAAAATCATCCTCATACACTAAGATTCTTTTCTGAATGGAATAGCACTGTCTACCTTTTGCACAGAACACACATTTTATAGAGCAGTTGCAATGTGATTTGGAACAGGCAGTATTATAAGAGGATTTGTACCTGGGACTGCTTCTGCTGAATCAGCTGCAAGACCTCATGAGTCAGTTTATAATCTTTGGACCGTGCATCAGTAAATACATAGATGAATGAACCAGGAAGAGAAATTTCTAGAGCAATTTTGATGGCTCCAATGCTCATCTCTGGACAGTCACCACCTCCCTATGGCAAACAGAGAAATGAACAAAATCAGACCTAAATAAAAATGAGTCTGAAAGATTAAAAAGAAGTTACAAAAATTCCATATTCACCAAGCCTACTCCATATCAAGGGTGTAGGATTTTAAGTGGGAAAACCCTAATTGTTTAAGGCAGATTTTCTAGGTTCTCACTTCACATCAAATCTGCACCAATAACAAAGGTGCTGGCATAGAACAATGTATGTCTGAGACAGAAAGTTTTATTTGTCCATTTTACATTATCTTAAAGTAAATTAACTGACCAAAACTAGTGCTAAACTTTCTCACCCACTTGTCCCAAAAAATTTCTCTAGAAGTCAATCTGTCTTCCAAAAAAATGTCAGATGAAGTGTAGGGAGAAGCTGTTGGAGAATTGCCCTTACATTACATAGAGGGGTTCTCCCAGTTTGATTTAATTTTTCTTTCCGTCAGTGTACCCAATGCTTTTTCAATAGGACTAGCAAGAAAATAAATGGGGAGGGCCACTGTTTTCTAACAAAGGGGGAAGAAGGAATGATAGCCTTCTTTATCTGAACCTATGTAATTATAATTATGGAAACAAGTCTGGAATTACTTTCTAATGTTTTCAATCCTGATAAAATGGTATCCATAATTCTGTTTAAACCCATACATTGTTAATTCCCAGTTACCCAACATTTCAACATAGATGCTGAACATACAGTTTTTAAGATATTGCAGTCTAGTTGGAAATATTTCCCCCCTCTTCAGATTTGAGTTACTGCTACCAGGGATACAGTATAAACAATATATTCATCAAGTTCCTATTTATTTATTAATACATTTCCTATTGTGCTATAGTTTACACAACAAGATTTTTCCCCCTGTTCTTCTAAAGCTGTCAATGTAACAATATTTTTACGAGTTACTACTACATTTTCTTTTCTAGTTTTAATTGCTTTCCAAACTAGCCTATCTGGAAGATCAACCAAAGAGAACACAACTAGGAAATCAATAAAAACTTCTCATTAGCTAAATTTAATATATTACAACCTGATTCATTACTCTGGAAGCACCAATACTTCAAGATATAGCTTCTGATTTTCCAATGGAAAAACAAGACAAGCCTCCCAAAAAAAACAACTAGCAGCTAGGATGAATATGGTGGAAGAATATTTCAAAAGGAAATGTTTTTGATTCATGTGAACTGGCAATGGTTTTCTGTCTTTGGGGAAAAATTAATATAAGCCCGATTATTTTTTTTCTTGCTGCTATAAGAAAACATTGCTTTGATAAATTACCATATTATCTTGACTCTCAATGTTGTATATGTTATATTTTATTCCTAAAAAGCCTCATTTTCGTAAGCCTTTTTTTGGTTTGTCCTGTGATTCCCATTTTAAAAACAAAATGATTAACAATAACAATTGATTTTTCATGTACACCACTTAAACACAGGACTCAAAAAAATCTTCTAGGTTAAAATTTGGCAACCTAGATATTCAAGCTGATATTTACCAGATGTTCTGTCTTCAGTTCCAATTAGTCACATCCAACAAGGCCAACAGCAAAGTATAAAAGATTGCTTTACTGCTGGATCTCCCAGACTCAACCTGGATAACTTGGGTTGATACATAGTCATTGCTTAGAACTGAGATTTGCTGCCACCATTTTTTTTTTTTAAATTTCTGCCCTTAAATATCTTTACAGAAATAAGGACAAAAGAAGGAAAACATCTTCTCCTTTCATTACCTGGGTAATTCAAGGACATCTTCAGCCTGAATCTGGTTATAATTCTGGAGATGTTGGGGCCTTCTAAGGCATGCTACCAGATTACAATCCCCAATTTCAGCTCACAACCTAATTTTCCAAAAGTTGAAAATTAAGCTTTACTCTCAGGCCTTGGGGCAGAGTAGTTGCCTCATCCCCTGTAGTCTGCTTTTTGTTTTTCTGATCTGCCTCTCTGGATGTCTATTGTCCATTTCCTAATATTTTTATTGTTCCATTTCTTTTTAATGTCAGGTGCCCAAAATCAATTGCAGTCGGGCAGCCTCTGCATTAATTAAATAAATAGAACATAAACTAACATAGATATGAAAAAGTACATTTTTCAAAACAGCATTTAAAATACATAAAGAAATACCACAGCAAGGAAAAGCCACAGATAAAGATTAAGCTTAAAGAAAACTGGGATTCAGGAGAGGAAGTGTGAAAAGGAGAGCCATAGGTAGGCTCATCCAATATCATACGAACCCAGAGAAATGATAGCTTGAAGGAAACGAAGTGATTTGAGCAAATACAAAATTAAAAGTCTACATCTATTCTGCCTAGAGCAGGGGTGAGCAATTTATTTTCCCAAGAGGCCACATGACAAACTGGGACTGTTGTGGGGAACCAAACCAATGTGTAGGCATGCACACACACACACACACACACACACACACACACACACACACACGTTGGGGAAAAATAGCAGTCACTTTCAAAATAAAAGCAATCCATGTGGGCCAAATGCAGTGGTGGGATTCAATTTTTTTTACTACCGGTTCTGTGAGCATGGCTTGGTGGGCATGGCGTGGCTTGGTGGGCGTGGCAGGGGAAGGTTACTGCAAAATCTTCATTCCCTCCCCACCCCACTAACTTGCTTTCCAGCTCCGTTCTCCTGTGCAGGGCAACAAAAGAAGACCCAGCTAATCAGCTGGGACTCAGGAGGCAGAGAATAGATGGGGGTGGGGCCAGTCAGAGGTGATATTTGCTGGTTCTCTGAACTACTCAAAATTTCCGCTACTGGTTCTCCAGAACTGGTTAGAACCTGCTGAATACCACCTCTGGCCAAATGGTGACAAGCAATGGACTGTATGTGATCCAGGGGCCATAAAATGCCCAGGTCTGCTTTATATACTCATTACTATTAGGAGTCCATTACAAGTTAGGTTTCTTCCCATATCCTGAATTATGTGACTTCATTTGAAGGAGAAGAAAGAGTTTAGCTCTTCTTTTTCTCCTCAGACAGAGAAAATGAAAAAGAGACATTTTTTCCTGGAAAGCTCACTGATTATAATGTCTTGATAAGATCACACTTGGAATATTGCATCCAGTTTTGGTTGACACAATATAAAAAGCTGTTGAGACTCTAAAAAGAGTGGCGAGAAGAGCAACAAGGATGATTAGGGGACCAGAAGCAGGAATTGGGGATGTCTAGTTTAATGAAAAGAACTAGGAGTGATATGATAGCAGTGTTCCAATATCTTAGGGACTGCCAGAAAGAAGAGGGAGTCAACAAAAATACATAGATTAGGTCCTAGGGATCTACAAAGTAGCAGCGTAAGGATTCGGACAAAGGCAGCCAGCCAATCCGGAGTGAGGGGCTCCCGTCAGGGTCCAGGAATCCTGTCTTGAGCAGCTTCCCTTTCAGCTGCCTGGAGAGGAAAAAGCTGCCTAGTGAAAAGAAACTACATGGTCTAAAGAATCTGCCTGATCTTGGGAGAGGGAAGCCAACGTGGGGAACGAACGAGCTGTGGGTTTACGGCAACTGCCAACTGCAAGCTTAGAAGCTACCCAAATGTGGGTGAGTGTCTCCCCCGGCTCCTTATAGATCGGGGGTGCATTTTTCAGTGGGAGGAAGGAACGGGTAAACGGCTCAAAGCTTTACTGTGGACCTCAGTCAGAAACAACTTAAAAAGCGAAGACTCCAGAGCGGAAGGGGTGAGTGTGGAGATTAAGTGGCAGCGGCTTAATTTATGTTTTTACCCTCTAACTCTGGAAGTTAAATGGCAGCTTGAGAAAAGAGTGATTAAAGGAGAAAAAAGGGGGGACTAGACGAGAAGAAGATGTGTGAAGAAGGTTTTTATTCAGGAAAACTGCCTTTTGAAACTGAGATTGATTGTGAATTCCGATGATGGAAGAACTGGAATGATGTCTACAGTCTCCATTTAAATCAAATCACCAAAAATAATTCTAAATGGCCACCAATTGGGAAGAACAAAGGAGACTCACGGAGAATTGATAGTCGCCATATAAATCACCCAGCTCCATTTAAACAACCCGGTTGATTAGTCAGCCTGAATTTAAATTCCCACTCAGCTGATTGGACAACCTCCACTAAACCCCCACCCAAATCTTATCCTTTCCAAACTCTAAAGTAGATGATTGGTGAGCTCATTCAAATCTTCTCCATTCAAATCTATCAAACAGCAATGCTTCCTCTTTAAAACAAAAACAAAACAAAAACCAAAAAACATGGCTTTAAGGAAAAACAAAGGAACTTTATATCACAAACCTCCAATACTTTACTATCTCCACTATTTCAGTACCTCAAGACCGAATATTTATAGATAATTCTTTGTCTATAATAATTGATTTATCATATAATTAATTGTTAAATGACCACTAATTTACTGATTCATTGAACTGAGAGATTTAATACTGTATCATTTATTATCTAGTCTATTGATTGATTGATTGATTCTTAGTAATAAGTTGATTGATTGATTTTTAGTAATAAGTAACCTTACTTTTGATTTGTTCTCTAACTTATCAATTAACATTTATTAACTACCAACATTCAGTAAGTACCTTTCTATCTATCACATTAATTAGTTATTGTAATTGTTTAGTGTACTATTGTCATTGACCATGCCAGCCAGAAACTCCAGAAACTCCAAATCCTCCACTACCAAACAACAATAAAGAAATAATATCTCTACGAATGACCTCCCAGACTCCTGTACATGCTTCAGATGTCTTAAAAACATCAATGAAAGTGAAAATAACATCAAATGCTACCTATGTGACAATCAAGCCCACCTTGCCTGCTTGAACTTAAACAAAGACCTAGCTGATCTCCTAAAAGCATCAGATACTTTCCCTTGTCTATGTCCATCATATTTTCCTAAGCTAAACAAACCAAGTACCCTGCCTGACAGAGTTGATAGCATAGAATCACTCATGCACTCAATAGAAAAATGCTTAGCAACACATTTTGAAACAATTATACAAGAAAGCCTAATTTCTCTTGGGAAAAAAA